CCGCCCCGCCCCGCGCCGCCGCTTCCGCCGGGAGCGCCCCGGGCACGGGGCGGAGCCCGCGCGTCTGCCGCCGGAAGGGTGTGGGTGCGGTGTGCGCCGGGATGTCTTGTCTTTTGTCAGCGCCGCCGCTTAAAGTGGGCTGGGTGTATTTGCCCCGCGGAAGAAAAAGAGAGGTGTTTCCCCTTGGTGCGATGCAGGTCTGTTCCTTGGCTGGGAAGCTTCGTTCTGGAAGTACGCTCTAAGCACGTTCAGAAAGTTTTTTTTCGTTGTTGTTTTGTTTGTTTGTTTTTTCTGAAGGCATACCGTAAGGATATGCTTTTAGACAGCCTGGAATTACTTTGCAACCTAATGAATCTAGATGAGGTAACACATATTTAATAAGATCGTGTTGCACAAGGAATAGAAACCCAAATTGAATGGAACCAATTCTTGTGTGCCATCCCCCCTCCCGTTTTCTTGTGTTTCTGATGGTGATGGCAGCTGAAAGGCTGTCATCTCAAAAGAATCCCAAAAACCCCAAAGACTACCATGTCACACTGTTTGGTTTTTTTGTTTGTTTGTGGTGTTGTAGTGGGTTTTTTTGTTTTGATTTGTTTTTTTTGCCCAAATCCGCTCACTGCCTAATAACCTGGGCAGATCATTGTTTCCTCCCATTTTCTCTTGGAGGCTTTCCAGAAGGCCAACGTTAGTGCTGCTGGGCAGCCTGAGGGCTGCTCTGTGCTTCCAGAGGCTGCAGCTGCAGTGTAGGAAGCTTTGCTAGAGGGGTAGAACAAACCTCTGCTTGAGGCAAAGGTGAAGAACTGTAGGGGTTTGTATTGACAGACACTGTTTCTGACCAAGTTGTTGAAGCTTGAAGAAAATTCACTATGCAGTACTTTTGTGAGAAGAATTTTTGATGAACTGCAGTAATTCATGGGAATGAATTTTGCATGAGAATTTCATCTCCAGAGGCTGCTGTGAGTCTAAAGCATTTAACTGCAGCAATTACCCAAGTGTGCCCAAGAACCCTCTGGTTCACAGGGTGTTATTAACCTCTCACAGATACGAGTATCAGCTGCACACATATGTTAAACAGCTAACACTCACAAGGCGTGTGCAGATTTGCTGTGTGGGCTACTTAGCATATCAGGCATAGGCTATGAAGCTGAAAAGAGAATTTTCACCTTTTGCCGGGTTTCAACCCAGACCCACACTTCAATTTTTCCACATTTCAGGAGCAGAAATTAGTTAGGCCTAATGAGGATAAGTTCAGCTGTTAAGTCTCAATTCTAGAATAGATGCAGACGTCTCAAAGGTTTCAGGTTGTTTGAATTGCCTTAAAAACATAACAAATCAGTCTCAGAGAACACCAATATACTCTAAGCAATAAAGGCCTTTTTGTATATGTGCAAGAACAGCTATTTTAATTTTGGAGATATTTTTCTGACGGAGTTCTTTGGGCATAGCCTTCGCAGCCAAAGCTGCGTGACGACAACGGCAGTAGAAGACTGTCCTGTTTTTGCCGCGATGGTTTTAGTTAACGGAGGCGGATTTTAGGCGTGCACAGGCAGCACTTCAGCCTCCGATTTCACGCCTGGACGTGTCCGGCTTTGCCAGCAGGTGGCAGAGGCCGACCAGCGCTGTGCACCCCGCTCTGGAAAGGCGCCCAGGGAGCGCCGCATCTGCCTGGCGAGGTGGCCCGCGGGGGCGGCTGGCAGCGGGCGGGGAGCGCAAGCAGCCCGTGCGTGCCCCTGGAGACTGGAAGAGAAGGGAAGGGCGAGCTCTAGTTCAATCCACTCTTTGTTTCCCCAAGGTTAAGCCCTGCTTACTAGAATAATCTTATCAGCTGAAACCGTTTCGACAGAACTGGACCCTTAACAAAATCGAGATGGAAGCGCTTGAAATATGATAGAAGTTAGGCCATTGTAGGCTTTAATTATATGTAAGCGTGGCTAAACAGGCTTGGGAGGGGGGGAGACCTTTGAAAAACCTGGGCATCTGGATTGTTATTTGTGTTACTGCTTAATTTACTGGAGTGCAACTGATCCTTCTGAGAAGAAGCTGGGCACTGTGCACAGAGCCTGACCTGAGTTACATCAGGATATCTGTAATGACAGCAGCAAAGCTGTTTTGGATGTTTACCAGTACATGGGGTTCAAAGTCTCATTTGAGGGCCCTGATCTTCACAGGGATGTCACTTTCTACTGCTGAGAGACAGTTGATTGACACTGGATTTTTTATGATGTATAACAAAATGTCTGAGCGAAGGACATGGTGGACAATAATAGTAGTTAAATCTCTATAACAAGAAAACATTTATTTTGACAATTTAGTCTTTCTAATAATAAATGCTTTTGAGAATAAATGATGTTGCTATTTTTCTGTGCAACACAAGAAAGGGTTTTGACCTGGAGCAAAAAGAGAGGGCTTCAGTATCACTTACAGAGATGGTTGTTTAGGAGTAGCCACAAGGTTTATGTGCTCTTTGCATTCATTGTCCAATATTTCACAGGAATTTGTCTAAAAAAATATGTGTCATGTACAGCTCTTTAAATAAACATCAGGAAAGTAATACAGGTCTCTGAATGATTAGGTCATCCCTAGCTGCTGCTTACACAGACAGAGTAGCAACTAGAGGCTCAATTAAATTTCTTAATTATAATTTAGCACAAAATTTCTTTAATTTTATGAACATATAAGCTGCATTGAAAGAGCCACATGTGTTTTATTTAAGAGGGCATATAAACGTGGTGAGTACAACCTATTAGAGAGTCACAAGTGACTTTAAAAGAAGTAAGTAAATGGCACCTTAAAGAGATGTAGGGTTCATTTGATATTTTAACCTTATGCCATTCAAATAACTGAAATCTCAAATTTAAGGAGGATTTTGGGTAAGGCCTGACCCTGCAAAGCTATGAGTAGTCTAATGAGTGGAAAGGGCAAAATTCTTTGCAGTTTCCTGTGTATTAGATACTCAGTTGTTCACCATCATGCAGACTTTCTCTGTGTTCCTGGCAAACCATTAATGTAAACCAGTCACTATTAGAAAGTTAAGCCCAGCTTAATCCTTCTTCTCATTATTACTTTGCTGGTGACCTTCCTTTTGCACCATCAGTTTTGTTCTCATGCCAAAACTAATACCTAGTAAGGATAAAGAGCATTTCAAGCCTTCACTAACAGGTTTGCTTAGCTGACAGTCTTTCTTACACAGCCTAGCTACATCCACTATGTCATCACTGGAAGGACACAGCTGGATTCTGAAGCCCGCTGCTCATTGTGAAAGCTATAAAGTTCACTGCCAGATAACAAGACTGAAAGCTAATTCAGGAACTGTTTCTCAAGAGCTATCCTCTGGCCTCCCTCGTCAGAGTGAATGCACTCACTCACTGAAGCATCTTTTGGCAGCAGCTTTGGCTTCCCTCCAGCTGTTTCTCTCTTTCCGAGGATCTTCTTATTCAGTGACTGGTTGTGGTCTTTAAGCCTGGTTATCTTGTACAAGGAGCCCCACTGAGAAAAGAAGCCTTCCCTGCCATGGAACAACCAAATTAAAGCACATTTGTAAAAATCATAATTAGAAGGTCCTGTCCTCCCTGTGAAATTATCTTTTTGGAGGGATTTGGAAGCACAGACATTTTCTTTTGTACCATGTGACACGAAAGCAAATACATTGGAATTAAAGCTGAATTAAAATAATGTAATTAAGTAGGACTTTTGACTGAGTTTATTCAACCCCCTGACTGGGCATGTGTACTTTCAAATTTTGAAATAATTTTATGAGGGGTTTTATGCTTTTATTAGTTGCCATCTAGCATTCAGTAGCATTGAGCAGATACCATCTGCAGTGACTCCATAGGCAGTGATTAAATACAAAGTTCCAGACTTCAAGGCTCCAGTAGAAGGAGAGAAAGAAATGGCAATGAGGAGAAAATCCCCATCCTAAAATGAAGGCAAAGAGAACCTGAATGAAATACTTCTCCTGTGGGATTAATCACATCTAAAGAATCAAGGTAGAAAGTACAGTCAAACTCTTCCTGCATAAATCTTGTGCTAAAGAATATCCTTCTGATATGCCCAGACCATGGCTCTTGACAAGCTGTTTGGCTGATGTTTTTCCATGGAAGGCAGGTTTTAAAGGATTCTTGCTCCTCATATCCTTTCTGTACTAATGATGGCAACTGCATAGCTTTGCTCATTAAATACATTTATGCCCACTATTTCAAGATTAACATATCACTGTGCCAACATAGGGCAACCCTATTCAACACTTGCTTCTCCTGTAAGCTGTTCCTAGTCAAAAGCCTTACAAAAAGACTTTATGTTTTGTTTCCTATATTTAAGTTTTTCTGAAGTATTCTGAAATTGCTTGCTCACCTCAGATGCAGCACTACCAAGATGTAAATACTATGCAAACAGAATGCCTTGGTTTAGCAACCATATTGGTTCAAATCTGCTCAGAGCATGACAGGAGAAAGCCCCTGTAGTAATTGCTTATTTGCTTCGCATAGTAGATATGTATTGCTACTAGCCAATATGGCACCTTATAGAAATATTTTTGAACATTTCCAGTGCTCATCCAGACACACAAGCTCCTATTGTTTTATATATACTGCCGAAAAAATGGAATTCCTCTTTGTGAACATAGAAATGCATATATTTATACTGGTATGGCTTGTTCCTAGAAGGGATAACATGGTGAAGGGAGATTTAATCACTGACATTATTTTAGATAACCAATAGAGTAGAATGATGTTAAGCCTCTGGGTATCTGCAGTGGGGATAAAGGAGTTTGCATTGTCATGAATGTGTGTGTGATATATTCTCAGGTCCTTAGGGAATAGCATACTCTCCTGCTATCCCACTGAGTCCAGGAAGGATATTGGCTAGAAAGGCACAGTTGACAGGAGTCAGTGGGCATGACAGGGAGTCAAGACCATTAATCCTGTGTATTACACAGGGAGTCCTGTTCTTAAAGAAAAGGTGATAAGGGGCAAATTTGGTTTGGTTTCTTGTGAATGCTATGAAGTATCTTCCATTTCTTTGTTATCTATGAAGATCAAAGCATTTAAAGCATTTCTTCCAGTGTCAGACCTTGGAGAAGTAATTTCCCCCCCTCCCATGGAAGTGCTGTGGGAAGACAACACACTCAACCCAGAAGGTGCCTTGGACCCGCAGTGCAGCACTGTGAATGTGCAGCTTGCTATGTTGGATGCTTAGTGTGTCCAGCTGAGTGACCTCTAGGGTCATCTTCCTTTCCTTTCCCACCACGGCCCCCTTTCCCTTCAGTCACCAATGACCATACAGGGAGGTCAAGTTATTAGCTGAGCAGAGAAGCAGTAATGGCAACAAATGAATTTAGCTATCTTATAAATATTTGTAAAAGCTATAAATAGCTGAAGCATACATTAGATTTTATTTACAATAGCATGTCCTGGCCTTTTCCTTTATACTTTTCATTTAGAAGCAGAGCTTCTTGATAATATGAGAATTGTTAATTTAGAATTAAATTTTCATAAAAAATAAAGAGCATCATGCTTTACAAAAATTTCTGTCAGAAATCCAGAGACTGTGAATAAGATGAAGTGTTATACTGAAGGTACTGGGAACGCAGTATTTAAGATCTATGATAAGTCAGGAATGTTTTCATAAAATCTGAAGAAAACTTGGGACTTGAATATTTGAGAGGGAAGGCAGCTCTCTGCCTTGATTTTGCTTTCCTTGGAAAGCAAAGGATATGCAAAAAGATGTAAGGAGAATCCCTGCATCTTCTCAGTTTAATTTATGAACAAGGGGTGACTTGGGGGTCAGAGCATCAGTCTGAAACTGAGTCAGTGTCATACTCATACTTCTGCCTGAGCACTTCCTGTATAAACTTGGTAAATTATTTTTGCACATGCTCTGAAATTCCCAGTGATTTCAGTTGCTTTGTTTTCTTGATGTTTGCCAGCTAACATTATGGCCCACATTCTTTGCTGCTCTGTTTCTTTGCTTGATTCAGAAGCAAAGAGGAATAAGGGGGATGGTGTATGCAGGGAGAATATAATAATGAAGGGAAAAATCAGGTAATCGTTGCATTTAGATTTTTTTTTTCCCTTCTTCTTTTCAGCTGAATGCACCGGGAATCGTTCTGGCTTGCATTTTGGATGAAGCAGCTGCTTGAAAGTCTGGTGAGAGGAGGCAGCTGTTTGAAATACGCATTCTGGTTAACGCGTTCAGGCCAAGCCCCGTATGTGCAGTCGCAAGGGTGCTTCTCCCAGAGGATTCCCCTGGGTAACTTCCCTTTGAAGCGCAGCCTCCCTGCTGAATTCAGCACCTGCTACTGTCTCCACTTCGAAAATGGAGGCATGCTAGTGTTTCTGGGGTCGAAAGAAGGGTATCCTGAGAATACTGTGGTTCTCAGTCTCAGTCGTGGAGGTTAAAGGAGCCTGCTCGCGATTTTCGTGCAAGCCTGGCCTCTGGCTGATGTAGGACATCACGGTTTCCGGAGAGCTGGCATTAGCAGCACGTCTCACTGCAGCCCCCAGGGAGGGTGGCAGTCACCACATGTGGTTTATCGGGGGGGTAACCGAGGTGGCAACGGGGCTGCGGGAACCCTCCTCCTGGTGTCGCCACCGCCGCAGCCGTGAGGAGATAAGAACCACAGCGGAACCGAACCGCAGACGGGCGGTGGGAGGCGCATCGCCCCTTGACGCATCAGGGGTCGCCGGGGCCGGGGGGCCCGGAGGTCCGGGCGCTCCCCGGCCGCGAGCCCGGCGCGGCAGCGGCCGCCGCCTTCCCGCCGCACCGCGCAGCCGAGCCCCGGCGGGGCGGGCGCACCGCCGCAGTGGCACCTCGGGCAGCCAATCCTGGCGCGCCGTCCCCGCCGCGTCAGCCAATCGGAACCGACAGCGAGAGATTGGGGGCGCCAAAGCCCCGGCGTGAATAAACCACCCGGGACCTGTGGGGCGGGGATGGGCGGGGCCGAGGCTTTGACGGGCGGCTCCTCACACCAATCCAAAGGCCGGACCTCGGGGCGCCTGGCCAATGGGCCGCCGGAGTAGGCGTGGCTGGCGGCGGGGGCGGGAGCGACGGTCGGGGGGCGGGGGCGGAGCGGCGGCGGCGGCGCTGCTCGGTGGCGACGGGCGGCGGAGGAGGCGCCGGAGGGAGGCGGCTGCGGGTAGCAGGTGAGCACGGCCGGGCCGCGATGCGGGGAAGGGCCTTCGCTGCAGCGGCCGGTGGTCGGAGCCGCAGGCGAGCGCGACGGGGCCGTGCCAAACCCCGTGGGGCGCGGGTGGGTCCGGCGGCGGGGGGGGGGGGCGCCGGAGGCGGGGGAAGCTTGAGGGGCCGGAGGGGATGAGGGGGGGCAGGGGTACTCCGGGAAAGTGCGTGCGGAGGCGGCGGGCGATGTGGGGGCACCCTCCGGCCCCCGCCCCGGCGGGGCGCGGTGGGGTGGGGCGCGATCCCCCGGTGCGGCGGAGCGGGGGCCCGGCGCAGGTGGAGCCTGCGGGGGGCGGCCGCGGCACCGAAGGGCCCTGCGGGGAGCACCGAGCCGCCGGCCCGAGGAAGCGACCCCCGGGGCGGCGCCGCTCCCTGGGATTCTCCCGGGGCTGCCTCCCGTGCCTGCGGTCTCTCCTAGGCCTTGAATCCCGGCCAGGTTTCCTCAGAGGGTCCCTCCGGCGCGGCCGCTCCCGGGCGCTTTGTACCGCTTGCCGCCCCTGCGTGGCCGTGGGAGCGAGGGGGCTCCGGGCAGCAGGGGCTCTCCCGAACCCGCTGCCCCGTCTCAGCTGGGGCTGGGCTCTGTGAACTTCGGGAGGCGTCGGGACGAGGCTTTTGGGCGATGGTACTGACGTCCCGGTCTGGCAGCGGGAGTTGTAGGGGAAAGGGCCCCGTGGGCAGCGGGGCTCGTCTCTTTTCACCCGGTTCGTGGCTTGGCCGGTGCCTCGGTGCGTGTGCGGCAGCTCGCCAGGCTGCACAAAGAACAGGCGGCCGGGTTCGGCCCGTCCTGCGGGCCAAGGAGGGATGGATGAGCAACAGCGTGCGGGGCGGGGGCTGCGGTGCGCCCGGGGAGCATCGCCCCGCTCCGCGCTCGGTCGGTCACGAAGGGTTAAAATGCAGCTCCCGTTCGGAGAGCCCTTAATTCCTTTTATTGCGCTCTTGGAGATGAACATTCTTCAAGAATGAAATGATTTATCCCTCACAGTAGAGTTAATGTCTTGCAGCAGCTCTGATCTACAACTCCTTCGGTCCAGTAGATTTATATAACCTGCTCATTAATGGTTTATGAAATGATAAGGGAGCTTTTCTGTGTGCTGATGTGTTTTGTGTGTTGTTATCAATATTTCCTAATTCAGCTGTCCGGAGTAGGAGAAGCTTATAGTTGTCAACAATGTATATTTCTACCATTTAAAGGATTTCATTTTGCTCTTGTTTTGTATTTTTGATCATTCTGCATATCAAGATAGGCTCCTGAATGAAGAGAGTGAATAAAATGGAAGGCACAGTCATTCTCTTTGGCTACAGTAATACTCTAAGTATGACTTGTAACAAAAAATGTAAATATTTAAATGGATTTCTGACTCAGTTCTATTTGACTTATTGATCTATAGTTACTGCTAAAATGGTCTTTATGATTATGCGGAGTTAATAGTTACCATAGAGAAAGAGATTGTTTTTCTGTTCATCAGTGAGTGTTTTCCATTTCTTCATCTCTTGGCAATTGTCTGTGGAAGTGCTGTTTTTTTCCCCTTAGCAAAAGTCTTACAGAAGAAATAAGGATGTGAACAAAGTCCAAAACAATGAATTTCAGATGTGTTCATTCTTGCCTGTGATTCTAGGAGTCTTGGTACCCTGAGTTATCCTACAGTAAAAGCTTTTTAATCTGTAATTGCATATAGTGTTGGTTTTAAGCCTCAGTGAAAATTTAGATTTACAGAACTCTAAACCTAACACATAAAATATTTTTTTCCTAAAATATACATGAGAAATGAAATTCAAATGAACAATTTAAATCCTTACTAGCAGAAAATTTATTTTTTATCCTTGGAATTACTTTCCTGCATTTATTATTTAGCTTAAATGTGTGGAAACTGAAGGCGCATGTAAACTAGATAGAGTAGACAAGTTTGTTTATGTTTTCATGTAGTGTTGTGAAACCTTCTGATTTTTTGTTAGCAGTTTGACAGCATTATGCATTTGGGAAGAAACCTAAACCAACAAGCCACATTGGGCTCTTAAAACTTGCCAGACTTCTAAATCTTACATTTTGTAGTTTGATAGAGCTGCTTGGTGTCGGAATGATCTGTAAGTAATTTTCTTTCCTACCATAACGGGTATGATGGATTAAAAACTTTCTGAAACGGTACTGGAAGTCTTTGCAAAAGTGCTTCCTTCCTCAGGAATTGAAGCTATTGGGAAAAATATACTGTAGTAGATTTTTTATTGTGTGTTTGTGAGAGCCTATTACAGCACTGTGAAGTATGTCTTGAATTCTGCCTATAGCTGGTTTTATTCCACTAGTAATATTGATGGAACTGCATAGCACTGGAAAAAAAAATGCTCTAATGCTATAGAAATGTAATCTTTTGTACTCTGGAAAAGATGTTTTAAAGAAGCTGTCAAGTAAGAGACTGGCAGCCAAAGCTGGTCTAATTGGTGACTTTTTAGTTGTATCCTACTTACTGCACTCATCTACTTGTCTGACACTCTGCTGACTTTGTTCTTTCTTTAGGGGAGGGGTGAAAGTTCACTTATAGTTTTGTTCTCCCAGCTTATCAAGCAAGCTTGGTTTAAACTCATATGAAATCTTGTCCTTAGTCTTGTTTTTGGAGTTTGCTTTGATTGGTGAACATATATTAAAATTACAGCTTTCTTGTTAAGTCTCAACTGATCTCAAAATATTAATAAGTGAAATTAGACCACATTGCCTTTCTTTTCCTGCAGAATACCAAGCATAAATTCAATCAAGCTAAGACTTAACATGTCCTCTACAGTCATATTATTGAATTACCACCACAGCAGCTTTGATTTTTCTGCCGATGCTTTCACCAAAAGGATCTGTTTTCCCCTGTTAGTCTTTCTTTGCTGATCCAGCTGAAAATGGCTGTACAGAAAAATGTTAAGCTTCAGTTGGATCAACTGCCTGAACTGACTTCATGGCTATACAAATGTTATTGCTTGCATAGGAGGAGGAGGAGGCTGTGACCACTCTTTGCTGAAGCAGCTCAATTTTAGTTTTGCCTAATAGTCCTGCCTTGTCAATAGACTTGGCAGCTTAAACTGAAGCTGTGGTGGTTGTGTCTCCTTCTTGACTGTGCATCTTCAGATGCTGCCAAGGAGACCTTTGTTGCTCTGAGTTAAGTGAAGTCAGGGAGTTAATCAGGTGTTTAATTGCTTTTTTTTGTTTTGTTGAATTTTAGCTGGATCATATATCTGAACTGGCAGATCATCCAGGTTAGGGAGTGGAAATGGGACTTAGGTTGAAGTGGGGTTGGAGATGGGGCTCTGATTGAAATTTCCTGGAGCTTTTCTGGAACCATACATTTCCATCAACATGACCTGTGTTAACAAGGACTTATAGCAAAGTGTTTCAAGCTGGTTTGGCAGGTAAAAATCACAATAAATTGGAGAGTGTTCTTCCATTTCTCTCAGCTGGCATGTTGATGTGGGTGGCAACAGTAATGAGCAGAGGATTCAGAACTAGGGATGTGCTCAGCACAGTAACCTCAGACTGACACAGCTGTGTCTGGAAGGGGATTTGTTCTCATCATAAGGGTGGGATCCATCAAATGCTCATTTTGAACTCATGTTCTTTATGGTGTATAGTTAAAACAGATGTTGCATCAGAAAGAACACAATTTTAATAATAAGCAAGATCAGGAAGACTTTTCTGTTCTGCTGTGCAGGATGTGGTTTTTGTTGTTATTTTGTGGGTTTTGTTTTGTTTGTTTTTTTCCTTGTTTCCTTTTCTTTTTCTTCATTTTTATTGAGCAAGACTTGCAATTGGCAGATACTAGTTTGGATGTATAAATGGCATCAGCTGCAGTTAGACATTCATCCAGACTTCTCTGAAGCATGTAGTTAGGAGATAGCTCTGAAAATGTGAATTGCTTTGTTTGGAATTTGTCTTACATAGTAATTCTTTGTGGAATCCTGGTGTTCTGTAGTAGTAATTACCAGATGTGATGGCTTTAAGATGTTTCTGGATGGTAACTTTGGTTTCTGCAGAGTTGTGACTGTAAGTGTGTCAGGACAAATTCATTTGTGTGTGAGAAATTGCTTAAAAAGAATACACATGCCAAAATGTAAAGGTGCTCTTGAGGAAAATATAAAGCCATTAATTTCAGAGTCTGGGGATCTGAAACAAGCTCTTGGCTTCTTTGAGTACTGAGTCTGTAGGATTTTTGAGATCTTGCTGGTGGGCTTTGATACTGAAGCCAGAACCAAAGGTGTTACCTTTCTAAGTGAAACTGTGGTTTCAAGTACAGTGTACTAAAACTTGGACCAAACCATTTGGAATCTTTTTCTGATTACCTTTCCTTTTCTGGGAAACAACAAACTCGAACTTCCTGGTGAACTGGATTATAAGCAGTACTGTAGGTATTACCTAGAGAGTTTACTCTTCAGAACTGCTTTCTGTAGGTGTGTACTTGGTCATTGGCCTGGGCTTGTTCACTGATCTAAGAGCTGCAAATGTTACTGAGACTAAGAAAAAAACATGTACTTGGCCAGAACCACTCTTACTGCATGCTAGCTGTTCTGTTTGGATGTGACCACTCTTAATTAGTTTATTTTCCTGGGGCAAAAACTCCAAGCATCAATGATGTCTCCTTCTTTTAATGTTGTTTCAACTTCATTAATGCAATTCAAGCCTCTGTTGAGGCTCTACTCTCAGTGGTGGAGTGATTTTAGACTGTTAAAGAAGTTTGTTTCTGTAATCCACCAGGACTGGAGATACCTTGGCATTTTCAGTGCTGTGCAGTTTGCTGATGGGCACCACTGAGCATTAAGAGCCAAACTCTCCTCGGTATTCAGTGTGCCTTGTAGTGCTGAGTGGCTCATAAATGCTTGGATCTTTAGTTAGCTGATATCTTTGTGTGTTGCCTTAAGATTTTGAGTGAGGGTAGTCTTTTTTCAAAGACATTAATTCATCAACTGCTGTAGTAAAAATCTGTGGAGACATGTGAAG